CCCCTTTTTCATCTTAAACGAATTTGTCCATTTTTTAAAAATTATCAAAATTCTTACTGTTTTTGCTGTCGTGGTTTTTCCCTAGCTTGTTATATGCACGGAATGCAATGAAAACGATGTTCTCCTCCAGTGTGAAATTTAATGTTGTAAAGTTAATTTCCTCCCACTAAACACAGAAATTGATGGCACACGCTTAGATTGGAACTTTCATGTGAACCAAGATAATAATTATGGAAATATTTTACACAAAAAATCAATTCCATACAATTTTCGATGTTTTGGGTATTTAATATTCTATTTAAATGGAGCTAGGTACGAAATTTATGGTATGATGGCCATTTTGCCTCAAACGTGCATTTCAGGTTAGAGTATTCATAAAAGTCAAACGTTTACTGATAATTAGTGTTGTTTACCGTAATTGTGTTCAGAACACTTCAGTCTTTATTTTCACACGTTTGAAGTTTTTAATGACTCAAAAATGTTAGACTCTGACAACGTTTTGAGGAGAGTTAATTTTTACTTCTCGTATTGGTAAAGACGTTTGCCCTTGTAAATAGCACATGTGTTTGAATGAATCAATCAAATTCCGTCGGTGATCTACTCATCTGGTGAGACGTGAGGTGGTTTTCACTACCAATAAAAGAGTACATGGCAGTCAATAATGGAAATATGAAGGTGAACACTGACAACTACTGACAACCCCGGTCTTCTTTACGTACTTTTACCCTACATTGTGAGAAATGTCATTAAATATAATGTATATTAATATACTGTACAATGAAGCCTTTTACATTAAGAAAAGGTTAATATATTTGTACATTAAATTTAATGCATAAGTTAAAACCAACGTAAATATAATGTGGAGGTTCTCCCGTTTCCCCTACGTCTCACCCATCATTCATATCATATATTCGTAATCATCATAACATCAAAATCATTCATTCATTCCTTCCAGTTATGACCATAAAGCGTTTGCTGTCGCATCCTAATGTACATGGGCACATTAAATGCAATAAGCGTTCATGATAATTACTTTAATGTACATTTCATTAAAGAAATGCGGAAATTTCTGACTGTTCCTTAAGTATTTTTTTATTATTTGATGATGAGAAGTCGCTGGGAAACAGAAATATTATTGTTATTACAGTATAGAGATTTTGATTTCCCGCTTTTCAAAAGTTTTTATTTTTAGACTAGAAAACTATAGAAATTGATGTTGATTAAATATACAAAAGAAATAATTTTGAAATGGTAAAATGACTTAACTCTCCACTATAGAAAAATCCTACAATATTAATAGTTTCAAATTTTTGACGTAGTAAGTACAGCAAAGTTAATCGAGAAAAGTCGGAATTGTGGAAAGGTGGAATTGTATTACGTATTCTATATAGTACGATATATATTTTACTACAAGTAAAGAAATAACGGTTGTTTTACGGCAAATACACATTCAATTTTGTAGTAAAGTTCTTGTTGTAGTCTATTTTGTAGTAAACATTTAACGTAACACGTAAACATTTAAAAACACCCAATAACAATTACACGTTAATTGTTCTTTATTTTTTCAGGAAACACTAAATTCATACACTCGCCTAAAAATGAGGAAAAACTTATTGCACTTATTGCAACTATCTTGACGAAAACCCTGTAAAATATGTATGAATTATAATCAATTTAAGAATTTCCTGAAAATACCTTTGGATGAAACCCCCTAATCATAATTGCTGAAGACTTTACTAGTGACATCTAAGGCATCATTCAAATATACACTGCCTAATAGAATGTCCTAAATTCGTACAACAAAGGAAAAAACACCTTCAAGGAGAAAACCTCGCAATAATTCTTGACACAAAGACATTTCAAAATATAATTGTCGAATTTTCAAAACAAAAACAAAGAAAACCAAAACCTTTTTTGATGGAATATAAAAGAAAATTGTACATATGTTACACATTTATTAAGAAAATTAAACTACAAGAGCACTCTAATTACGAAATCAAGGCTGTAAAATCTGTTTATGAATAAAATTGTATTTTTCAGCGAATTATATACTATGAATGAAAACAACTTAACACATTGTTCATTGCCACATCTATCGGAATAATGTAAAAGTGTTTCAACTGAAGAACATTGCACCATTCACTTGTATTATATATCAAATATTTAATTTCATTTGTATATAATAACATAGCACATACAACAACATATATACCAACATGCATTCTAAAAAAATATTTTTAATGTCAGTATTTGAAATTTGTAAGCAAATGAATTCCAAACAACAGAACTGTAAACACCGCCTATAAATTATCATTTAGAAATACACATAGGTTAAAACTGTAAAATGTAAACCAGGGATACAAAAACTGAAAAAGTTTTTAAAAAATGTAAACTATTTAAGAAGACGCTAATATCCTTGTAGTTAATGGACTGTAAATAAATTAATTTAAAAAAACGATCGCCAATATTTCTACTCAGGTTACACTCCGAATGACAAATAGCTCATCAATTTCCGCCAATCTATTCGGAACAAAAAACACTTTCAGAATATTCCAATCATGAGCATGTTAAATGAAAAACAAATCAGAAATTCGCGGGTTATTTTCCAATTTTACCGTCGAGGTCATCGACACATTCATGGTCAGCCGCACGAGAGAAAAAAGAAATGTATTCTCCCAGGGTTCACTAGCTAAAAATAGACGGAATATATACATTTTCTTCCGATGCACGCACTAACGTACCATTCAAATATCGATACTAAAAAAATGTTCCTACATTTTGTATGTATGTCGAAAAATATACGTCTTTAATTAAGGAGTATTCAGTACAGACCATTTAATTTGCAGAATACTAAAATTAAATCTATTAAGCACTATATAGTGCCAATTTTCACACTGGGCACTTCGGCGAATCATTTGGCTATATTATGTATGTCAAAATCAGGAAATGCGAGATTAACGTTTTCCGCTTTCGAGAACGTGGTGCATTCTCAAAGATAAACGAATTTATTGGTATCCCGGAAAATAGGTATATCGGTACACGTACACTGACACACCATAGGTATACCGGTATATCGGTGTACATGTATGTCGGTAAGCTGCATGAACTTCATATCGGTTTTCGCTCTCTCCTCATTTCAAAATCGGTTTATCAGTTGTTTTTTTTAAACTGTCGGCCCCTCAGCGAAAGCCCTCTAGCGAGAGAAGGCGCAGGCGAAGGCGTGGGTGCGGGGGCGG